GAGTTTGTGCTACTTTCTACCTGCAGGAAAAATCTTTCCACCTTTATCACATTTTCCCCTACTAAGAACACAGTCTACTGCTCACTTCTCCCTTTCACCTGGAAAAGTTCAACTCATCCTTCAGGTTTCTGAACTTGACATAGACAAACCCCACATATGTGTACAGTGTTCAAGCTCATTGGGTCATCCTCACATTTTCATTGCAGTAAACCTTTTGTTTGTAGCACATTTTATAGCCTTATTCAACTATTATTTAGGCAGTTATTTCTGTAATGTGTGTCTCCAAACTGGACTATAAGTTCCAAGGCAGAGTGACTGTGGCTGTCTTTCTCATGTTTTCCATTCGTTGTGAATCTATCTGGACTGGTTTGTGGCATGTGTGGGAACAGCGAGTGATTGACTTAGGAAAATATACGAGGATTAGGAAATAATGCAAAACAAGGATGGAGGGCCAGATTAGAAAAAACCTTAATTACCATATGAAAGAATTTATATTTTATCCTAGAGACAATGAAGTATTATTAGATATGGATAAGCGGAAGAGATGTAAACTGAGTTTTAAACACTAAATCTGGTGACAGGTTATATGGCTGATATGATAGACAGGAAACCAAGAGACTGTTATAATAGATTATAAAAATGACTGCACACGCCTTCAATCCTCATATGCACAGTGCCTAGGCAGTGTGACATTGCTATTCTTTCTGTCTCAAGTCTTTAAATTTGAGTTTGACCATGTGATATCTATAGAATTTACTGCAGAGGGCTTAAAGTTCATAGAGAGGTCATTCAGATAAATTGTCACATCAATTGTTGCCTTTCCCCCAAATATTCTTACTTTCAGAAACCTACTGTAAACATGACCATGTCATTTTCATCTGCATCTCATTCCTTAGAGCAAGTCTCATGCAGGTAACAGGATTTGGTGATTATTTTATTCACCTCCATTGTCAAAGAGTTTCAGTAACTCTAAAATCATCTTGACTTTGTGAAATTGAATCTAACCCTGGTTTTTGTAATACCTGTTCGTGAGTCTCTCATGGAAGTGCTGATGTCAATCTTGATAATATCTGATTCTCGCACTTAGAGAACTTTGGGTACTTTCCTGAAAACACACATATACTCCCTCACGCCTAGACACACAGTAAGTCACTGAAGGACGCTGCCGCCTTGAAATGCTTCTGTATTTCTTTTCAGTGGAGCATATAGAACACCTTTACCCCACACATTCTAGGATTAATCTTTGAGAACGTAATCTTCTCCAAGCAGGTGCAAACACTTGTCTATCCTGAGGGAAAGACGGGTCAGTGAAAGATAATTCTTGTTAACTTACTCTCCTGCAGACAGAATTGGGGAAGATGCTGTCCAGAATATCAAACACGCACTGAATTTAACTCTTTCTCACATGACTAATTTTCGTCATAAGCCACCTCTAATACTTCATAAACACATTGCTTGGGACAACTGTGAAATAGTTATGCAAAGTCATTAGACTAGAGAATGTCTTCTAAGCATTGGCATCTGTACCCCCTGGCATTTGCCAGTGGCAGTCCCCTCCTTTTCTTGAGAAGTCACTTACCTCCATGTCCTAGTCCTTATGCAAAGAGACAAAGAATAAATACACTAACACTAGCCAGCAGTAAATAAATGTTTCCAGGGGTGGGCAAAAGTAGGGGTACAGTTGTAAGTATGTGAAACACGGTTTATTCTTTTATTATTGTTATTTAGTATTATATTATTTTCCATATGAATAACTGTTAACCTACCTTTGCCCATCCTTGTATTCCTTTCTCAGACATAGACTCTTATGAAAACAGAATCCAAAGGAATCTGAAACAAGTATTTGAATAAGCAGGCATGTTTACAGTGATATAAATTTCTGCCTAGTTAATAGTCAACAGGGCTTAGGTGATGCTGCCACATGCTTATGAATGTCCAGGGAAGCCCTGCACCAGCAGGAGAAGACTCATTACCCATCTCGTAGTCCAATTCTGCGATGTGATAGGTAGGCCAGGGTGAAGGTGTGCTTGTTTCCACCAGTAAGTATACTGTGGAAACGTGCAGAAACCAGGCTACAAATTTCAGGAAGGTATTTTATGTAACAGCTCATTTCCATTCCCTCTACCTCTACCCAAAGTCACTTTTTGTGCACAGGAATGCAATAGTAACCATGTTGTAAAAAACACAATTTGGTAAAAAATAAAAAAGAGAGACATGATGTGTAAGCAGACCAGTGGTTTATGTATTCTGATGACGAGAATGTAAACAACTTAGACTGCTAAGCCAGCTGTGTTCTCTGAAGTGCTGGATATCATCCAAAAGTGATGTGCTATGAGTACTCATAGTAACAGCGTAGGAAAATGATTGTATTAGAACTTCTTCCTGTTTGTTCCTTTTTCTAGAGTGTCCTGCTAACTCTTTGAGAAAGGAGTTCACTCCTGGCACATGAGCCTCTGTTAGGGCTTTTCTACTTGTTCGGGTCACGGCGACGCAGCCGCATTGGGATGAGGTAGAATTCTGCTGTCACAGAACGTTTCCAACTTGGCTTTGAATGATGTCTCTGTTATATAGGAGAGTTCTACGTCAGTGACTGCAGGCAACCACACTTCCTCATCTATTTAGTGAAATGATTAAATATTATTAAAATAATGTATATAAAGTTCATGGCCAGTAGCAGGGGCTCAATTGATAGTAGCTATGGTTATTACTATTTTTTCAATATACACATAATTCCAAGCCACTTTACTTTTTAAAGTTGGACATTAAATCACATAAAAATGATTCCTTGATATTCTTCATATCATCAAGTCAATTTATTGAAAACTGAAAAATGCAGTTTGTCCTTCTCAGGAAAAATGAGTATCCTGAGTTTTCCAGGACATTAGTTTGAACTAAATTGTTTTGACATTGCTTGTATCCAGTCAGAACCACCGACACATTCCTGCAAATTGATTTAAAATTTTAACTTTCAAGGGCAATTAAGTTTACTTTATCAAAATGTAATGGATATGTAGCATACACGAAGGTCAAAGGTTGAAGATGACAACCACCACCACCGCCACCACAAAGACTCGGTCCCGCCATCTAAGTCCCAGCGTCTAGTTAATGGAACAGCACGCAGTGTGAGTTCCATAATGAAGGCAGCTCCTGGAAACAGAGATAGTGGCGCTTTTCATTCCATGTGCAATGGATGAGTTTTTGAGAAAAAAATTATAGACAGGTGACATTTCATCAGCTTTTAAAGACTGATAAGGAGTTTCTTATCTGGATATAATAGGAGAGTATTCCAGGTGGAAGGAATAGCTAGAGCAAGGGAAGGAAGAACTAATAATTCATAGCTATTTACAAACTGGCTGTGGACCTGGTCTGTATGTTTTTGGATGGAAATATGTCAAGGGCATCTTCCAATAGATAATCTTTTCAGTAAAACTGAAATATTACCTTCCAAATCTCAGTGATCTTATTATTTTTGTTGTTGTTGCATAGCATGAGAAGATTTGTGATATAACCTGGCTGGATTGTGTGTGTGTGTGTGTGTGTCTGTGTGTGTGTGATATCTTTAAATTTATTTGGACTTTTCTGCAAATAAAAGAATATTATTCCTTTGCTTTTCCTATGATTTAAAAAACAATCACTGCAGTGTGCTACTATACTTCAACTAAGGTAAATGTAAATTTTATAAGCCATATTTCATGAAGGCAATATAAATTGTACAAAAATAATAAATAAAATCTAGAAAACATCTGATCTTGAATCATGTAGAAGCATACAGGAGCAAACTTGTAAAAGGCTGTACACCTAAATAGCATGTGACTAATAATATCACATTACACATTAAGGAAGCATTCTCTCTGCTCACTCTGTAAGAGTTGTCTGGAGAAACCTGATTGTTCTTCCTCACATGGTGAAGCACTAAATCAGCAGGTATATGCATGGAGCTATTCAACAGTAATATTGTGGGGGTGAAGACATTTTTAAACAAAACATGTTGGAAGTTCTCTGCCATTTTCTTTTAGTATATTCACTGCATGAAACATCTTCCTGCTTCAGAACAGGGCTATGTGTATGTGCTCAGTAGTTCAAATATGTTTCATGATTTGTATCAGACTTGAATTGAAACGTATTCTCTACACATACATGATGCTATTATTGTAACAGGAATATTACAATTTAACAAACAGTGAGTGCTGAACTGTCTATACTCTGGCTCTCCTATGTGACCATATCAAGTGTTGTAGAAGCATTGAGCTGGAATTACAGGGAGCTAAGTCCATTATGGGGTGTAGATCTCCATCACGTGAAACAATCTGAGTTGCATGGAGGTTCAATCTGGAGTTTTCACCTTTTTGTGTTTTTTCTTTATCCACATTAGGTATCATACACAGAGGCATCTGTGTAAGTGAGTGTGTATGTTTTATAGCCTACTCCATTCTAAAAATAATTTGAGGTTGTTTGAGTTATATGTGTAAAGCAGAACAATCTACTGTATTCTGTTAAGTTAATTAGACAAGGGGGCCAGTGGACTGAGATGGTTCCAAGGCAGCAGCAGCAAACCCAAGTCTCAGCCTGTAAATGCATCAAAGTTATGAAATCAAAACCTAAAGACCACCAGTCACAAACAGCCAACTAGGTTTGATGCTCTATCCATCAATAATCTCCTGACTTTGCTTCTGTTTTCTCTGTAAAAGTCTCTGCCTGATTAGTTCGTAAGTTATATAAATGTCTAATTACTATGTTGTTCTACTTGAAACTAATATAATTATAGTCTACTGTAATTGAAAAATTGTTTTCAACTTAAAAGTTTCTCCTGAGTTACCGTCACTGGAACTCCTAACCACTCTGGTTTGGCACCACCCAACTGCAATCCATAAATGGTCAAATAAACCTTTCCGATGGTTTGAATGCTTCAGTTTATCTTTTAACAGTTCAGTATGTTTAAAAATGTAAAATTCTCAGGAAAAAATTTAGAATTTAAGAGAACTCTCTGTTTCCTCCATTAGCTGTTAAGAAGAAGGCTGGCTTTATCACTCCGGTGCCAGGAGGCGTGGGGCCCATGACGGTGGCGATGCTTCTGAAGAACACCCTCCTCGCAGCGCGGAGAGTCATTTACTAGACCACAGGAAGGAACACAGCACGCTGGAGTTACGCTATTTATTTACTTGACAAACGGGGGAAAAAACTTATATTTTACTACAAATCTATTTATTTCTGCATTATTTATTTTTCATGGATGGAATCATTGTGGATGAGAGGATTCATGTAACTATACACTTCCTGCTAACAAATTTTGAGTTTTAGAAGGAAAAAAACCAATTCCAATGAAAACTTTGGTGACAGTTGTTTATTTTGTGAATAATATTTGTTCATAATGTTAAAACCAGTAAAGGGTTCATAATAAATAATATATTTTTGACACAATTAAATATCACACACTGTATGTTTTCAACAAATGTTTGTCAGCCAAATGGACACCCATGTAAAATATAATTTATGTTTTACCATAAAAATACTCCATTTTTATATATTTTATGTTCTATACAAATACTTAAAAAGAACTAACTTGCTAAAAGAAAGATAAAATATAAAAAAGAAAATCTTAATTTTATGTGTCTCCCAAATTTATCCTATGAGGCATCCTAATAAAAAATTGATGTTTCATTCAAGGAAAGAAAAATATACAAGGAAGACAAAAAATGCAGTACTGCTTAGCGATTATTTCAAATTGTAAAGGACTGCTTATTATAATAAAATATAATAAGAATGTATTAGGTTTACATGTAATTTTTTTGTTCTTCTAGAATATAATGTGAACAGTTCCTTCTTTGAGAAATAATGGAAAATCCAAAGCAGACAGATACACAAAACAAAACTAAGGTAGCCTTTTCCTACAAATATCAGAAAAATATATGACATAGTATGAGTGAGTCCTTTATTAAAGAATTATTGTGTTTTTTCAAAAATTTGAAACTCTAATGGGAAAGCACACTTACAATGGGCCAATACTAAACATTAAGATATGACTAAAAATCCACTGTTTTTCTTGCCCACAGTTCTTCCCTCTTCTCCTACAGCATTTGGTTCTTAAAGTAGATGCCTTGTTTCTAACACAATTTACATGAGGAAACACATGGGACTCTCAGTTGAAGGGTATTTGGAGACTGCTCTAGCCACCTAAATGTATTGTTTTCACACCCAAATCCCAGTATATGTGTGTACCAATAATGATTCTTACTCAATGCATGTCTTGAACAGTCTTATGCCTTATCATTTATGTGAAGATAGACTAGATGTTTATAATTAATAGCATTTCGTATAATAAAAGCAATTTGAATAACAATACCTGTCTTCTTTTTTCCTTAAGATATCTGTGAGTTTCTTTGTTTATATTTTTGTATTTATTACAGTATGCTGGGAAATGTACACATTTTTCAAACATGAAAGAGAGGTTCTATAGCCCATCCCACAGTCAGCCAGGGGTGCCCAACCTCTTGCTTTCTCTGGGCCACTGGAAAACAAAGAGTTGTCTTGGGCCACACATTAAATACACAAACAGTAAAAAAAGCTGATGAGAAGAAAAAAGGTTTTAAGTAAATTTACGATTTTGTGTTGGGCTGCATTCATAGCCATCCTGGGCCATGTACAGTCCTTGGGCCACTGGTTGGACATCCCTGGTAGACCATCTTTGTCTGATAACCCTGACAGAAGTTTAAGTTCAAAGCTCCCAAACAGACATTTCAGAAAGGTCCTCTTTAATTTTTAAGGACCATAATTTCCCAAAATGAACCAAAATGCATATACACAGAAAAAGTGGTCTGTCATTTGAACCCACCCTGCTCCCTTTCCAAAATGCAGGAGAGAGAGATTGTTCATTAAAGGTTTCTGCTCCTTTGCTAGGCTAAAATTCAAGAGTGAGTCTTTCCAAGAACTAATTAAAGCATAAAAGAAAAATTACGCTTTAGTGTAATTTTTACACTTTTCTAGTGTAAAAGAAAAATTATTTTAACATTTGTTAAAAACGATAAAAAAATACTAATTCAAGATTATTGGAATAGTATCAAGACTACAGCAATAGAGAAGATTGAACTCGACTCCCAACAGAGCAAAGACAGTTGGAGATTTGTAGCCAGTGAGCTGAGTCAGTGGGTCAGTGGATGGAAGATTACTAAGAGGAACTTGATTAGATATCAAGGGTAGGGTGATTCTTGCTAAACTAGTTTACTACAATTCTTGCTAAAAGGCAGGCAAATGACTTATGGTTTCAAGGGTGGGGAGTGGGAAACAATCTGATATGAGATGGGGGTCCATCAACTTACTTAGCTGGATTCTTTTCTAAAAGATGGCTGAGCAGGCCAAGCTGACACTATTCAAGAAGAGTGTCTCACAGGAACTTGACCAGGGTTTTGGTCAAGGAGGAAGCCTTTTTCAACACATAAAAGAGATAAAGTGGGTCTGCTGGTACCATGACCTTATTTACAAATATTTGCAGTCCATAAAAGGTAGACATGATAACCTTGTGCAGGAGCTTTGGAAATGTAAACTTTCTTCTCCTACAAGTATCTGTAAAAAGGAATCTACAAAATGAATGGGCCCTGAGCCATAATACAAAGATGTGGAGGCGAGAATGAGTTTAGTGAATGTGAAAGCAACCGTTACAGTCCTACTAAAATGAAAAGTGTGTAGAAATACAATTGACTAAGTACATGGAAATAGATTAGGGAAAGCTTGAATAAATTAAACATACCAAATGGAGTGAGTTGTGAGAATTGTAATTACAGCTTGGAAGATGTTTTCACTGATTAAGAAAAGAAAGGGAGATGATTTTGGATAAGAGATAATAATATGTTCAGTTTAAGATAAGTTGAGTTTGAGGCAATGACAATATATAAATAAAAGCCCTGATGTAATACTAGTCTAGGAAGAGAAAAGTGATTATGGTTAATGATGAACATTTAGGACACACCAGCATGTACTAACCACTAAATTCCTAGTCTTACTGACCATTATACACACCCTGTGTTCTCTACACTCGTTCACTAATAACTGTTATCCTTATGTGAGGGCCTATCAGCTGCTAAATGTTTTACTTTCTTTTTGTTATTGACAATCCCCATTTGATAGATGAGAAAATTTACTTTTTGAGGGATTAAAGTCTCATCCAATGCCAAAAGGATAATGAAGGTGGCACTGGAATTCAGAACAAGTCTGTTGGGATGATGTAAGCCAGAACCCACTGTCTTTTCACTACATTTTGCTGGCCCCTCCCCCAACAAAAATCCTTTCTCTTATCACTCTTGTTCTACTTGTTATTTAGGATTTACTTCAAATGAAACTTATGTAAAAACTGCCATGAGAGTTTAAGTCCCACCCCTAAACTTGCATAGTTATGCACACAGTCATGGAAGTTATTAGTCCCTACCCAGAACTGTAGTTACATATGTATTTTCCTTATCTCCCTTTAGTTTCTTCCATCCACACATGATTTGTCTATTTATCCTGCAAACATCATAACACCCAGCTCAGTGTCATGAATGTTTCAGGCTTTCAACACTTTGTGAATGAATAAATGAGTGAATGACAACTGAACCCATAAGAATTACAGAATAGATTTAGAGAGACTTAAGCAAAGGACTAATGACCATTTTCTGACAATATCCAGCAACAAATTTTGGTTGAATTAGTGAAACAGCAAGGAAGAAAAAGAAAGGAAAGGAAGTAAGTGAAGAGAAGAAGAGAGGAAGGGAAGGGAGGGAAGGAGAAGGAAGGGGAGGGGAAGGGAGGGGAGGGGAGGGGAGGGAGGGGAGGGGAGGGGAGGGGAGGGGAGGGGAAGGGAGGGGAGGGGAGTAAAGACACTTGCAGAGATGCTGATAACTAGAGGAGCAAGATGAATAAATTAAAAAGACAGAAAAATGGTAGGAGAGAAAAATGATGGTGGAGTGTTGCAGCTCTTAGCCTCCTCCTTTCTCCCTCCAACGTGCTCTAACCTGTATCAAGCATGAACAAAGATATCAGTGAGGCCACCTTACAAACCCATCTCTCCCATTCTTCTGGGTTGGGGAAAGGACTGCCTGATGAGAGGATTGAAGAAGGGAAGGTGGGAGTCTCTCCCAGCAAGAATTTAAGTGGGATTCACCAGCATGAGTTCTAGAAGGAAAAGAAGCATGTGGGATGACTGAAAGCTATTTTCTTCTATAAACCTTAAGCTGAAAGTGGTAGACAAGTCTCTATTATGTGGCCCAACTCACCAGAATAGGAAAACATCTGGAGAGTCAACAATCCATTTCTTTATGCCCAAATGTGTGTGAAAGACACAGTTCATTTCATATTTAGATTCTAAGGATAAACATAATTTACTTACAGCTTGATTTTTGGAGATAATTAAGAGAATTCCTGTAAGAGCAGTGTACCACCTCCTGCCAGATGGCACAGCCCGGGGAGGGAAAGGACAAGTGTCTGGATGTTAACTGTGGGTTCAGGTGCTGACTCTGGGGCCTGCCTGTCCTTTGGTGAGTCACTTAGCTCTTTTGAGCCTTCATTCCTTACTTGTCATATTAGAGTGAAAATAAAGCTTGTCATTAATTTATTTATTAACTTAAGACAGTTCACTGAGCAAATAATATATGACAGGTGCTGGTATTGTTGGGGCCAGGATTACTAAAGAAAGAATTGAGATGTGCATAAAAATCTGTTGTAAAACCTAAAGCACTCTTGTTACTGGACAGGGGGCCTGCCCCTGAGAAGGTCTGCCTAGGGCCAGCTGGTAGTGTTTGGGTTCTAAACGTAATGTAGGAAAGATTTCATAACTTGAGCCCAGATGACTTATAATGGTACATTTATTAAAGCAACAGGGAAGGGCTTAACATAGAAGAAGTGACAGAAGAGAGCCTAGGCTAGGCTGCCTTAGCTCACTGAGAAGTCAGAGAAAAGAGGGCCTTAGGCACAGGTTCAAGGGGTTAGCCTGGGGCGAGCTGCAGCTGCCCATTTGCTTCCCTGGTTGCAAGTCTTATGGGGACCCTTCAAGTCCAGGATTGGGAAGGGTTGTGTGCCTATGGGGGAAGAAGAGGGGGCAGGGAAAGGTAAAGGTTGCCTCCCAGAAGGAGTGAGCGCAGTAGGTCCTTTGTCTTGAGGCTCTTACCTTTCTCTTGCAGGTGGGTATTTTAGGGGAGGTGTCAGGGGAGGGTTTTCCACAGAATCGTCATCAGTTTTCCAGGTGTGCTTTTTCAGGGTCTTGGCTTCCACTGATTGGTCAGTGCCAGGGTGGAAGGTTCTTAGTTATTGCAGCTGGCCCAAGTGTCACCTACCTGGTTTTGTTGCCTTTCTGGGCCTGCAGCTGAAATACAACTGAGGCCTAGATGCTGTCTCTAGGGATGTGACATTCTGTATCTGGCTATGCATTGCTTGGCCATTTTGTTCAGCTGTCTCTGTCTCTCTGTTCCACTTGTCCCAGCTTACTGGCTTGTCTCATTGTGAAAGCACCAGTTAGCAATTATTACAAAGATGGTTATTGTATTTCCATGCCCCAGCCTTAGAAATAAAGATAGCTTCCTCCTCTAAAAACTGCAGTGGGTTGTGATAGTGTATTTAATCCTTTGTAAATGATTCCTTAAACTCTCACCAATGGTGCCAAAGATGATTTGACTTATAATTCAAATACTATATGCTTGGGAGAAATATAATTCATAAATTATCCTACTAAATAGTTTTTAAAACTTCACAGAAGTAGAAAACAAAATGTAGGCACATTTAAAGTGAGCCAAGTACTATATATTCTCTTAACTTTAAAACAATAAAGCCTGAGGGAAGGAAGATGGCAATGGAGTAGGAGGGAGCAGATTCCACTTCCCTCTACACATGGGAGAAAAACCTGGCTGATCTATGAAGGAGCAAACAGCCAACAGTATCCCAGCATATACGAAAATAAGAGGCCAAAAATTGTAGTAGGCACTGAAAAACCAGATGGTAAGGAGAGTGCTTCAGGACAATAAGGTCCCAAAGACCAGCTCTGGGATGGCGTGGCTGTAGCCCCAGGCCTGGTGCCTGCGCTGGGTCTACCACAGAGTCCTTGGGACAGAGCTGAGTCAACTGCTTCCTCCCTCCCCAGCCAAGCAGGGTTTAAGCAGCACTGGGGAGAGACCTGGTTGCTTGAAGTCACAGAGAGGGGAATAAAAACAGAGAAGCAAACACATGGGCCATGATCACCTGTGGAGTTTGTGGACACAGGCTTCGGAGAGTTGAGAGTTGCACAGTGAAATGCACTGACCCCGATAGTCACTGGTCTGGCTGGAGAATTGGGAT